GTCATGCTCGTACCGACACTTTTCACCAAAAGTGCACTCGGCAGGAGAGAACTCAGGCCTGAAGTTCACACTAGAACACAATCCCTTCGCATCCTCGGATCGACCGAACGTGCGGTTCGTATTCTGACCAGTCTTCTTCTTCTTGTTCTTCTTCCCGTTCTGCTCATCGGCGCGTCCATCGTGGTGCGCAGCTTCCGCGGCATCGTCTGCATTGTCATCGGGGTTTCTCTGGCCTCTTGTGGGTTGTTGGTCGAGAATGAACCTAGCAGGGAGAATCAGTTAGGATGGAGCGCGCGCATCGCAAACAATTTAGATCATCACATACTCAGGCTTGATAGGAGCAACGCCCTTCATGCGCGGGGCGGGCGCATCAGCCCTTTGCCCATTAGTATCCGCCGAGTCATCGAGTCTGGCCTTCTTCGAGGGTGGCTCCTGGGCCTGGTCTGCAGCGGCATCGCCATTCTCAGGCTCACGCTTGGGCGCATTAACCTCCGGAGCGGGCAGCTGTTCCTGAGCGGTTGTCGGCTCCATTGTGAACAGTCGCTTTCCTCGAAAGAAAAGATAAAAAACGAGCGTTAATTAATCACCGAAAAAGCTGAACTGCGCAATGCGACAATTGGGCTAGAATCAGCGCGTCGTATAATCCAGACCCTTTCCGAATTCGAAAAGATGCCGGTCGGTCCTCGAGAATCTCCGCAATCAATCAATCTAATGCGGGTAAAAATTTCGAGGGGTGCAGTTTGTAAAGTTTGCACCGACAGTGGCGTTGGCGGCAGTTCCAGCGTGGCGGGACGGAGGGCGGTCAGGGCGTTGCTTAGTACTAGATACTAGTAGTGGCGGTGCGGACCTGCTGTTCTGAACTTCTGACAGGCAATTCCTGAGGTGCTGTTACGATGGGCGGTATACGCGGTAAAACGGAAGCGATCCTTTGCCGTCGCCTTACCGGGCAACTCCTTCCCCCCCCATCTATTACAAACGTCGAACAGACTAGCGTAATCTTACTTTACATACTGAACAAGAGCCCCACCGAAGTTGAACCTAGTCTTGCAATGCTCACATTTTCTGGGTTTCTAGAAGAACTCAAACGACCCGGTTGATGGAGGGGGGTAGATCAATGCTGAGAAGCCAGCCACCTGTCGTTAACTAACTAGCTAACGAACTTATTAAGTAGTTAGCAAACGCCGTTTGGTCTCGCGTCGAGCACACTTACAATTGCGGTTCCAATCAAGGCATAGTCTCCGTTCTATGTTGTCGCTCCGCCCATCGCTGTGATCGATCGTTACTCGTCGAATGTTACGACGACTGTGGGATACGCAATCCACCACAGTGGCAAGGATCATGCATACATACATACTGCTGAGGACAAAAAAAACACCATGCTACAAAGTATTGAAGACAGAATACTACATCGGAGATATATTCGACTGGCAACCATCAAACACCCGCCCTTAATCACATTCACTAGTACTACATACAGTACTCATTTATCGCTGCACCCCCCTTTAAACTTCAGTAACATACCCAGAAAGTCAATTCCATCTTGGCAAGAAGGTCACAGGACTACGCATACGCCTCTAGCATTGGGTGATTTCGAAACGATGGCGAAGATCTCCTGCGCCTCTCACTTTTAGTCACTCTGCTTAGCGCCTTGTACCTGCTGATCTGATATGTCCTGATGAGGATTAACTACCCTCCCCCCCATGCATCATGTTACATGTACATTGAGTTTCGTATGTCGTGTAAGCCTAACTTTACGGAATGGAGTCCGGGGGGAGGGAAGGAAACGTCGGAATGCACCTGCTTATTTACTCAAGTAGTAAGTAGTTTAGTGCATAGTTACTGTATATGGTTGGCTGTTTATGGCCTTGACCAATTTCTGAGTGCTATTTACGTATGCTGTATACTGGCTTCGCTTCCCCCCCCTTCTCGTATGTGGATGGGTGGAAATTATGCGTATGGGTTGCTGCAGTACAATCTGCATGAGGCAGGTACAGGTTGAAGGGGTTGTGGTTCGTTAATTGTTGTAAGGTGGATAGATCATGGTATCCACATCAAGGGACAAAAAGCACATGTGGCATTCCAGGAACCGTGGACTTGGAAATGCAAGGGTGGCAAATTGATTCTATTTATTGCTACTGGGATTGTATGACTCTTGTATGCTTACGCAACTGTACGACATCGATGCATAGATTATTTGAGGATATTGATTCAGCTCCGGGATTGTTTGGTAGGCATCATGTGCTGTGAGTAGTACCATGTATGTAAGGGAGTAAGTACTACTAATTCATGTACATAATCTACCATGTATGGGATCCGTCACTTGTGTTCCCCAGTCATCCCAGAATGCAGGTGCCTGATTAGAGTAGCGGCTGTAAGGCGACTACTACGTGCTGTAGGAATGCTCAGTAATCAGAGTGCGGCTGGCAGCAATACTCCGAAAAGCGGTATATACTTTATAGCGTACACGCGCAGTCTTCGGGAGAATACATGGTGGATACAAGCGCCTCACTTGACTCGAATTAGGTTCGGTAAAACGCAGCCGAGGTATTCGAGGGTTGAGACATGGATGAAACAAACGGATGGCGCTTGACAGGGGTAGGGGACCAGTAGAGCCGGGGCATCGGTTCAGCTTGCCCAGATGAGTATGAGATTGCAGAACATACAACCATCCATGTCGTCTGTAACCTGAAGCTGCGTAATTGATATTGGCTTGGTTAGTTCTAACTATCAATCCAACAGCAGAGTCAGTTCTTCAATGTTGCATGGTCAGCACTTGCGCCCGAAAAGGCAAGTCACTCGACCGATAATGCGGTGAAAGACGGAAAGTTGCCGCTAACCATTAGAAATGCTTCTTCAGTGCTTCTAGTGTTGGAGCCAAGACCACACCCCCAGGATATGCCCTAGACTAATTGCATGATTGAGAATGAATGAGAATTCATCCTCCCCGATTTTCGTGGCGATCGGCACCCGGAGGAAAAGGGGCTTGGTCCCATTCCTGCGATCTCTCACGTCCCAGCCAATACCAGGCGATCTGGTCTATCAGCAGACCATGCTGAGCGGGAGAACGGTGTGTATGTTACTACTGCTAGGCCATTTTAGCGCCCAAGTCGTGAGGGCTTGCTCTTCGATACACCGATTTATCAGTACTTTCGTTCAAGAAACGCCCATACAGACCGCCCATTTGCCTCGTTCGCTTACAAGTGAGGCTGCTATGATATTGATGTCATTGATATATGGCCAGTGCTGAAAAGGAGCGATAAGTGGCCGTGCTTCGTGCTTATCGTAATATCGATTCTAACTCCGCCATACTAGAGATCGGGGCTTACTGAAGAGGGTATCGCGGAGTACAGACGGAGGTCCTGGAATGTCCGATGCGAATGATAAGGAAGGTAGCCAATGTTAACCACCAGCCAGGTCACCCAATAGCACCATAGGAAAGCGTTGTAGCCCCTGATACTAAACGCGCGTTGAAATATGCAGTGACTTGCACCTGGACCTCCATTTTCCGGGTCACTTCCACCACAGGAGTTCCTGAATATCAAGACCCCGGGTTGAGAACTGAATTTCGGTTTCTGTGGGGCTTGCGTTGGTTAGAGTGTCTAACCGACGCACCTGGCTTGGTGTGGCATGGACAAGCTTTGGACCCTTTCTGACACCGCCGGAATGAATGATCCAGGTTCTAGGACCGGTTCATCGGATAACTTCATGGTGTGATGGTACTATCATAGGCTACGAGTCCCCGGAGGGATCTCGACCAGGATATAGTGCGCATGTAAACCACGGGTAGGTAGCGTGCTTGCTGGGGGTAGTACGAGACATTAAGGCTCCGAGAGGAGTCACAGTGTTGCACAAGCATATTGTTTTCTGGAAGGGTCGAGTCATTTACTTCTTCTGAAGAGCGGATGAGCCCGAAATTAAAATAAAAAAAAAAAAAAAAAAAAAAAAAAAAAAAGAAGAAGAAAAAAAACATATCCGCACGGACAGACGAGATGAGACGAGAGTGGGATGGATGGATGGATGGATGTTGCAAGAACAACGCAGATGAATGAGCTGGTTGAACTTGCTAGTAATTAGTAGTTATATAGTAGGTAGGTAGCACCACCACCAAAAGTAGGTCCAGCTCCGTAATAATACAGAGACCGGAAAATGGAGCGGGGACCAATCCCCGGTAATACAGTTTCATACAAACAGACGATACAAGGGTGACGCCCTCTGGATCTCCTGCAGCAGTTAGCTACACACCAGTCAGTCCACCGCCGTCATCATCATCGACTTTTCGAAGAAGCGCTAGTGACTCGACTAGACTGCAAGCGGTGTCAAGTTCATTGCTACTAAAGGGGGCTCCACCTGCTAGAAGCCGAAGGGAACCAGAAGCTGTTTGCTGGCCACTGGAGTCAGTGGTCGAAACCTCCCATGGATCCTCCGCCATCCTCATACGTAATAGTAAGTCGCAAGAAGATTCGTCGTTGGGCACTGGGCAAGATGCTGGGCAGCTCTGATTGCCTGGAAATAGTTATGGGTGGCTCCAGCCAGACCATGACTAAGGTTGTTCTTACCCAATCTAGATAAGTGCGGCCATTGTCCGGGATGTACCGTAATCTAGGTCATGGACGGACTTGACCAAATTGGGTTGTAATAAAACGGTAATGTTTGAGAGTCAACCCTTTACTAGTAAGTACGTAGTAGTGAAGGTGGTGCCGTGAATTGCCCCCTCCCTCTCTCCGCCGGCAAGAGACCCAAGACAGGTCCAGTCACTGTCTAGTCATTATTACCTGGTGGTCCTTTCCGGTCGTTGCTTGCTTGCCGCCAGTTGCTGGGCTTCCTGACTTCGCTGCTTGTCGGTGAAATTGGACTTGTTGTTCCTCGTGTGTGCGTGTGTGTTGCCCACACCTTCTTCCCCCCCATTCACCCAATTTCCCATCTCTACACCATCATCATCATCATCTACTTCTATTACCCATCACCTTCTTTTTTTGCATCTCAAAATTTGTTTTCTTCCCTTCTGGTGATCGAGTCGATCAGTAATATCGTTACGTCCCCGCCACCTTTCCCGAATCCGTCACAAGTTCCGCAGCCAAAGCGGGACAACATCCGAGGGTGGTGGACACTCCTTGTGTGATCCCGCCCAAAACCGCCGTCGTGGAATCGTTCCTTCATGCTCGGGTCGTCAGAAGCGACGCATAGTCCTCCTCCTCCCTCACTTCATTACTCTCCCTCTGTCGGGGACCTCGATTGCGCCTCTACCAGGGACTCGACCCCCGTCACCACTCCCCTCGGGTTTGGCGTACCGTTGCGCAGACCGGATAGGGAAAAGCTACTCTCGGATTCCTCGTGGACTCGAAATTCACTTGACATCGGCGGCGACACGTCCTCACCGTACTTTGACAACCAGCAACTACACCCTCACTTCGATTCAGATCTCGACTTCCCTCTCTTTCCTTCCTCCCCCATACAAACCAACACCATGACCGGTGCAGCCGCTCCGATCGACATCGCCACCCGCCAGAGTTCCGTTTCTCCTCCCGGACAGCAGGCGTCGAACCTGACGTCTGCTCTGCAGAGAGCTGGTAATGGAGAACGGACAGGCAGTCTATCCCATGCAAACGGTGTTGGTCTCAGCGTCTTCAAAGCTCCCCCTCCTCGTAAGGACTCCATCGGTGCAGCTACCGCACAATGGGGCAACGGAACGAAGCCCATCTCAATGTCCGGCTCCAACCGCGATAAACCCCGCCGTGAGTCTTTGGCAGGAAGTTTAGTTGGTGGAATGAGCTGGGGTGGTGTGTCTGTTGGCAGTTGGATTCGCGATGAGTGAGTGTCCATGTCGTTATGGGAATCTATACGATTTCCCGTGATCGCGCGAGTACTTTGGCCACTGGAAGCTGACGATGAATCATCTAGTATAATCATGACCGGCACATCTCCGTTCACTTTCCAGTCACCGTCATTTCATTCATCCTCATATTTACCCAAGCTGGAAGCGAACTTCATGCGCGACTTCAATTGCTGTGGGGTGACTCTTCCGACGCTTCACGATCTTTTGCAGCACTATGAGGAAGCTCACGCCACCAAGTCACCTCAGCAGGGCCACCGCCCCAGTCAAGGCGATAGTAGAGCGGCCCTGGCTGCGGTGGCGATGGCGCAGCAGCAACAAGGCCAGCAAAACAATAACCAGGGCCGTGGATTGCAGCCAGATAGGACTCTGGACTTGCAGCGGAAAATGAGTCAGCTTCCACACACTCAGCAGCATTCGGATATGGATACCATCGATGACATGGAACTTGATGAGCCAATGGGTGATCACGATGCCGCCACTGCACAGCTGTTCGCGCCTCAGTCGCGTGATGGAGGTCAAGGAGGTTTTGGCAGTACCAACCAAAGAGTTCCGCATCTGAACTTGTCGATGCTTCCAGGACACCAAGGGTTCAAAGGCTCTCAGCCCGGTACTCCCGTTGCCTCTGGGCGCCCTCTGTCGCTGCAGAACAACCCAACGGTTTCTTCCGTCAATACCCCTACTTTGATGGCGAACCCTCTACAGAACTCACAGTTCCGGACCACACCAGACTCCTCTGCCCCCGGGACGCCGGCAGAACTGGATGACAGCATGCTTGGTGGTTTTGGAGACCTGGCTATGCAAAATCCGATGATGCAGGGTCAGTCTCAGTTTGGAAGGTTTGCCGGAAACAACAACGATATGGTAGACTTGTGTATCGACGAACCAGCCAAACGATTGTTTAGTCCCACTGGCGGAATCAATACCCCCAATGCTCACTTTAAGCTCAGTGGAGCACAGTACGGCCCTAACAGTGAAATTGCTCGACGGATCCGAGAGCAACAGTTGCTGGCAGGTGTTCCTGATACCACTGCTCTCCTTCCCAACGAGGAACCCAAGCCTTTCCGGTGCCCAGTCATTGGCTGCGAGAAAGCGTATAAGAACCAAAATGGTCTGAAATATCACAAAGCTGTAAGTTCTTTTTTCCAACCAAACCATCCTTAGCTTGTCTAATCATTCCCTAGCACGGCCACAACAACCAGCAACTTCACGACAACGCAGACGGCACCTTTTCTATCGTCAACCCCGAGACATCAACGCCATATCCTGGAACACTTGGTATGGAGAAGGAGAAGCCCTACCGCTGCGAGGTCTGTGGCAAGCGTTACAAGAACTTGAACGGTCTCAAATACCACAAGTCGCACTCGCCGCCCTGCAATCCTGATTTCCAGCTTGCTGCAGGCAGGAATTTGGCTTTCGGTGGAGGCGTCATGCAAGGGCAGAACATCAACGTTGCTGGGGCTGGCCTACCTGGCATCGGTGAAGAGGGTCTTTTATAAGGTCCCCATATCACGAACGACATGCAATCCAATTTTACGCATCATTATTCCCACACTAATTCGACACGACGATCTCTGACGGCCTCGTCGCGCGGGATACGATTTAATGACAGGTTTGGTGGCTTGGAGTTAATGGTATGAACGTCATGTCAATCGCGGTTTGGGACGACCGTGCTTTGGTCTGGTAATAAATCAGTCCTTTTTAAAGACTTTGAAGAAGTTCTTCCACGACTTAACAGCCGATAGACGTATCGGCGTGAATTCTCTGGATTCTTTTGCTTGCTCCTGGCAGTTGCTTAGCTTTGACGGTTATGTGTATTCGGGATCAAAACAGAAAGTTGGGTATTTCATTTGTCGACTTCCAATGTCACGTCTCCAATCCTGGGCTCCTTCGCCATTCGCGGTGCCGAATTACTTAATCAGAACCTTCAAAGGCGTGTCATGCCCTGCAGAAAAAATTGGAGTACGGTTACGATGGGACGACTTTGGGTTATAAAAAGAACGAAAAGCAATTCAGCGCAATGGTTTCTACTGGATATGCAAAGTTGGAGCAACGCGGTGATTGTCGTTCTTTGCCTTTTCTCTGGCACAATGAGGTTTTCGCTGCTTGGAGACAAAGGAAGACCATGAAAAAAAAAGTAACTACTGGTGGTACTCTGGCGTCAATCAGTTCTGTAGATAAGGTTTTTTTTTTTTTCTTTTTTTTTTCAGACCGGCTTCTGGCTCCTACACTGCGTTTTTGTGTCTTTCTATTTCCTTTTGTTTATCTTTGCTGATCATTTCTTCCCGTTCTTGCGTCGTTTGTTCTTATTTGCCTGTGGTGTTGTTGGAGAAACATGGGATTTTCGAACTGACTGGCTGAGTCGCTGATAGATACTATTCCTCGCTATGTTCTTGTTGCTTCGAGTGTTTTGCCTGTTTGCTCCTTTGAGATTCCCGTTTCGATTGTTGAAGGTTTGACGTAATGTTGTTTGCTTTGCGGAAAATGGGCTCCTTTTCTTTCCTTTAACAAAAAAAAAGTCTGAACATGAAACAATTTCACTCCATATTATCATTATTACCTCTCGGGTATGCTCGATAGTCGACTAATAGGTTAGCTAACTAGTTACTGGTTTCGATTATGAATATCATGTAATTAATTCTTGATCTGGGTGCTACGCTGGTGTAATTGAGTGAGCTTTGGGACGTTGAGTTAATTGGGCCGTAGTTGTTTCTTCTCACTTGGACATACTCCGTAGGCGGCTCACCATTCTGGAGTCATGTGAAGTAGCCTGTGGCATGTACCCTACGTGATCGATTACTGTAACTTGTTGAAAGCATAGGATGGCCCTTGGCCAATTTACCCGGCTGCTCTTTATTTAGTTAAGTGTGATGTTCATAATATAGAAGAAAACAATCTGTTTCATTCATTTCAGATATGTTATTCTAGTACAGCTTGAACTTGAAAAGGAACCGCCGTCCACCTCATAAGCGCCACATACATCCAATGTGGGGAAGAAGCAAAGAGTATGAGGAAAGTAAAGAAAAAAAAAAAGGTGTTAAAATCAAGGACAAAAAGTGAAAAGGAAACAGGAATCCCGGTGTTGTTTGTTTACTTCGTGAAAATCAAATCGTCATTTGAGGCAAATTTCCGCTTGCACCGACCATCCAGACATAGTTGGAAGAAGAAAAAAGGAACCAGATATGGGTTTCGTTACTCATAGAATCCTGAGTCAGATCTGGGATTTTTATATGCTGAGTATAAACGAGGCCAGTAGAACATAGAAAGAGGTATGGAGAAGAGAATACATGTTCTGGGATTTATCCGGAGTAAATGGATGATGCTTACGCACATCTACCACTCGAATTCTCCTTGACCTTTGTGGAAGACGTACCTGTTCACTTGTTAGCAGGAGGTTAAGTGGAATGTGTGATATTGATGTACTTACTCCTTGCCACCAGTGGTCAAGATACCATCTTTGAGGGTGCACTTCCACTTGTTCTTCACGCGTTGAACCTTGTCATAGGTGCAAAGCATGACCTGGCCTACGGCATCTTCAGCATCATGATCCTCAGCAACAAGGTCATCAGGGTCGTCAAGATCAGAATTGATGGCATCCTCATCATCCTCATCCCTTTCATCATCACCACCGGGGCCGTCGAATTGAGCACCGAGGACCTTGGCTGGATGAGATGAGGAACCAGCAACTGCTGACACATCAACTGGCTCTGCTTGGGTAGCCACCAGCCCACGAGTCGATGTCTTCGATGAGTAGTCATGTTCGTCGAGAGGCAGCATCAGACCACCGCCTTCTAATTGGAGCATCTGTTGTCTGAGATGGTCACGAAGGAGACGATCACCTTCTCCTCCCTGGCGTTCGGCAGCTTCCCGCCTCCGTGCAACCTCAGCCTTCCATGCAGACAAGGCATCATCACCGGCACCGTCCGTTTGAGTATTGCCGACAGGGGGCTGAGACACAGGGGGATACCCCGGTTCTTGCTTGATCTGTGGAGCCTGCCCGGTGGGTACATGCTGCATAGGTTGGGGGCGCGGCTGGCCAGGTATGGCCATGGCTGCTTGGGCCTGTGACTGTGCTTGCAGCTGACTGACTGAGTTAGCGGCTGCAGCTCCGTAACGCTGACGAAGCATATTGGCAGCCCGTTCTTGAGCAGACTGTGGGTTGGAGGAGTTTGACATCATCATATTATTCATCGGCATCATCCCAGGCTGACCGTTGACGCCAGGTTCGGTCTTGATGTGAGGTTGTTGTTGTTGACCCATGGCATTGGGGCCGGCCCCAACCGGAGCAGGAGCTTGGAGCGGAGGTGCCGTAGCGGGGACGGACTGAGGGATGGGTTGCTGTTGAGGAGGGGGAGGAGGAACATGATGCTGTGGTTGAGGGGGTGGTCCAGGCCGAGGAGCATTTGACGGCACAGTTGCGGTGGGAGGGAGGATATTTTGTGTTTGAGGGGGAGCGGCTTGCGGCGGCGGCGGATCCCAAGGGAAGTGAGCGACACCCAATGAGGAGAGCTTCTTCTGCCAGCTCTGGGAACGGAGGTTAGCATACGTAGGTGTGAATTAAAAGGAGAAACTGAATGGAGCAAGGAGTCAAAGGGCCAAGTGGTAGGTATAAAAAGGACTGAGACCGAGAAGGTGAAGGGGAAACGGGCAGCGAATGACGATGCTGAAGCGGCTTGGCAGGCCGACTAGGGCGGGTGAAAGCGGCGCGGTATAAAAAGAGACTCAAAAGCAGGCGATGCCCCCAGGCGGCCGCCCTTCCCGCACCTCTCGGACCCCGCTTGGGGCGTCTCCCCCTGGGGCTCATCACCCCAAACATCACGACTTCTTTGAACTTCAAAAGAATCTCTCCAACAAAGCAACATGGTTCTTGATGGAGTACTAACCTTGCGCAAATCTAACAGTGTTTGCTGGTCCACACCACTTTCCTCGAAGTCCACCTGGGAGCCATCACAGACCTCCTGGATGACACGATCGAACACCGTGCCCTAGGGATAACTGGTATGAGCCAACATCTCACATGGTTATGATATGGGGTTAGAGCGGGGGAATGGAGAACTTCGAAGGGAGTATCAAGCCACAATCAGGGCTCATCGAAGTCTCCAGCTCTCATAGAGTTTGTTTTTTTAAGATGCACTCACCACCTGCTGGTTCGACATGATCGCTGTTGGGATCAGACAAGGACGAGAAGACGCTTTGTCAAGCCAGGTGAAGGATTTTTAATGAATTTTGGGTCAAATAAATTTGCTCTGTCTTCTAAGAAAATAGAAAAAAGAACGGGGTGCCTATTAACACGCGAGAGCTCGACGTGAATGGGGGTTGTCGGGCTTATCACAGGTAAAGCCTCGCCGTCGCAGCGGTCGCTTGCCACGGGCGAATGCGACAGTTGAGTCTCCACAACCACTACTTCCGACCACCCTCGAACTTGCACTGCTTCTGTAGATGGTCTTTCTTACTTCAAGAACTCAATATTCAGAGTCTCAGCGTGTGACGAGCCGTAGAATGCCGGGTGAATGCCGGAAGGGAGTTGAAAGCAAGGCAGGCGTGCCGGAGGGATGTGGTTGAGGTGAAAGTCGCTCTCTCCGGGCGAAATCCGCCTTCCTCCCGCCTGCTTAGTCACCACCACCGCTAGTCCCTAGTGGGAGGTCCGGGGGATCTGCCCCGGCGCGACGCAAGAGCTAGTTTCTTTGACTTTTTGACTTTTGAGATCTCCAGTAATCGCGGGCTCAGCCTTTCCTCGCCACTCCTTCACTTATCCCTTGGTTGCCAAGTATTGTCGTTTAGACCTCAGAATTATCTACCATCTGTCAGCCGCGTGGTTGTGCGATGAATCAACGTTCTTGGTTTCCGTTCAGCTCATGCAGGCCTCATGGCATTTTAATTCGTCTCAATTCGACAGCGCACTGTGGAACACAACACAACAAGGAGAAAACCCACACCCAGACTTCTCCTTGTTTCATAGTAGTGTATCCAAGTGAAGTCCTTTCGCCCTCACAATACAGTGGCTGACAAGCCATTAAATAGTTTCTGGGGCCCTTTGAATGACTTTGTGAAGCGTCTCTCCAAGTCGGACAATCCCATATGAGAACGGACTCTGCCAGAAAGCAAAGTATATAAGTCCGCACGGGGATCACCATTTCAGTACTTTTTTTTCTTTGCGTTAGGGCCTTGGGTGCTACCGTCTGACTCTATGAGCCTCAGGACTTCATATAACCCCAGTAATAGTAGTATACTATTGCAGAGTACATTCCGCTCCAAGTCCAAGGGTCTCTTTAATTGCAATCTTTCAAACCAAAACTGAGCTTGGATGCAGCGTATCAATATCAGAACATCACTTTATGTTTCTGCTGCTCCACAACTGATATTAACGCCGGAAACTCATGGTTGACTCGCCAAAAGAGGTAGCAGTCAAGAAGCAGACAAAATGGTACACTATGGGTCAAATCGATTGTTGGTGCCAACTAGTATTCCAATGGATGTCAGCACGCGTACAGAAGATATGGATGACAGACTAACCCCATGCTTTAGAAACCGTTATACCTCCGTTGGATGTACTCGAATTGTAGTGAGGCGTGCTAATCTACTTAACTTGAAAGCATTGACCCTGTCAGCCATTATGACTTACAATTACCATATAGTCTACTCGTAGTACTGTAGTCCTTAATTAACTTGGTTATACAGGCTCATCTCCTCAACTCGGAGAAACTTTATCTTCTGGTCTCTAAGATTGAATGCGAATTGTAATATGCACGAGCAGAAGGCAAACAGATGAGCGACGAAGCAGAATATAGTCAGATATGTACGGAGCCTGCATCATCGTGATCTTCTTTTACATCTAGTCTAGATGGATTGGAAAGCAGTAGATTGTGAGTCCCTATCAGGCAACCAGTTAGGGTTCTCCCCAACCTGCTCGGCGGAGCTTACCCGATCTCGGCAAGGCGCGGGTGGGGTTTTGACAGCCGAACCTTGACCGTTCGTCTTCTCCACTTCATATTGTTCTCCAGCCATCTAGATTGCTATAGCATCAACCTAATGTTGCCGGCGATAAGATATGAAACGGAAAAATGACGCCGTCCCGGAGGCCATGGTGCAACGATGGTCTCGACCGCCCCTCTCCTGCCGCTTTTGTCGAGCGAAGAAGCTGCGCTGTGATCGTACCCAACCTTGTTCGAATTGCGTTCTGAGAAAGGTACCTTGCGAGTATACAGGTCAGGGTCCATCGGATAGTTCGGACGAACTGCGGGGAGCCCATCTATCTGGCAATCAGCCCCCTGCTGCGACGGTCTCCACACAACAGCCAGCACCAACTATACCACCCACCTATAGCCAGACTACAACTGCTGCGTGAGTGGGCTTCAGAATTCGGGAGTGTCATTGTAATTCTCACTGATAAATGGAAAGAGATACGAATGATATCTTGAGTCGGGTCGCAAGGCTAGAAGAGGCAGTCTTCGATCAATATCATATTCCTCGGGGTGAGTTATAACTAGCGCGTTAGAACCATCGTTATGGGCCTGGGATCGTCCCGAGTAGTCACCAGAGATGACACTCAACCTGGATGGTTATCCAAGTGCCTCAAATTAATGCAGATCTAGATCCGTCTGGTAAAGCTACTGGTGCCCAGGGCAGCAACACAAACCAGGGCTTGGTCACAAGTGGTGTATGTATTTCCTACAAACTCTTGCTTTCGCAAGCTGAACATTCCTTAGGCACGAGGCTCGAGCAATGAATGTGTCACTCCGCTAACATTATTACCCCTGTCTTCATTACAAAGACGCATTGCTGATCTCTATGACTGCATGCGTGATACGAAGAGCATATCCAGGTGTCTTCCCCCATGGACCCAGGCTCGCCAACTATTAGACCACTTCAACGTAGCCATTCATCCAACAATCGGGGTCTTCCATATCCCATCCACAAAAGAACTATTAGATGAAACATACAGGGGTATACTCGAGGGCGAGGAGCCAAGCCCCACTGTCTTGGTACTGTTCTTCAGTATCTTCGCTGGGGCTGTTCTGGTTGCAACCCCAGGACTTCTGCAGTTGCTCAGCGCAACAGAGGCAGAAGCCAAAGCAGCCTTCACGACGTACGCGCGTTTAGCTCTTTGTATAATTGACAACCCGATCAAGCCAGTGCCGCCATCAACAACTGCTCTTGGAGCCATCAGTGCCTTGTCGCGCGTTCTCTTCCATGCGGATTTGTATTCCCACAAAGCCCAAGCACTCAGAATCGACGCAATATGCATGGCGCAATCGATGCAAATCCACCTGCTAGACACAATCCAAAAGCAAGACGAGAGAAAACGTTCAGGTTACGATGCCATCGAGGTCGAGGTACAGAGACGAGCATGGTGGCACCTCGTCTCCTCCGACTGGTACACCTTACCTCCTCCAGACTCACATTTCCCCCAAATACACTAACAACCACAGGTTCAGCGCATTTTCGCAAAGCCCACAGGAAGGGGCCTACCTCATCCACCCAAAACAAATGAAAGTAAACCATCCCAGCAACATCGACGACGAATCCTTAACCCCCACAGGACCAGCATACAGCTTCCCCCTCTCAGTCCCAACCTCCATGTCCGTGTTCATATTCAGAATCCACTACGCAGAACTATGCCGCGAAATCGTCGACACCCTAGGAATGACCCTTCTCGAATCCTCCCAACCCGACTACGAAACCCTCCTCGATCTCGACCATAAATTCCACGCCTTCGTCCAATCCCTCCCAACCTTCCTCCAAATCGACCTCGCCAGCATTCAAAAAAGCCAAGAGATAACCCAACAACGACCCTACCTCGCCTGGCAACGAACCTTCGCCCATCTAAGCTTCCACGTCCGCCTGTGCCGCCTGCACCGCCCCTACCACCGCGAAGGCCTAACGAACCCCAAATACGCCTACTCTCGACTGACCTGCATTCGTTCCGCCCAAACGGTCCTCGACCTCCGCCGCTCCCTAAAAGACACAGGCGTTCTCGCCGGCTTCAACCCCTCCGATTACAGCCTTGTTATGAACCACGTTTTCTTTGCCGCCATGGTCCTGGCCACGGACGTCTCCATGAAGCCTACCGCTCCGGGCGCAGATACCCGCAAGCAGGAAGTGTTGGATGTTATCCGTGTACTGGAAAAATCGCAGAATGAGTCGGCGTCGCTTATGGGGGCTATTCGGAAGAATACGCAGACGTTGTTGTCTATTCTTCAGGAAACTCAGAGGGAAGTGCCGCAACAGGCAAGGTCGCCTGTGAGAAACGATAGTATTGCCGTGGCTTCTGGATCGGGTGGGACGATGTCGAGCGCTGCTCCGTCACAGTCCCGGCCTGTCGGGGTGGATGAGAACATGACAAGTGCGGCGGCCAGCGGACATCTTCCTTTGACGGACAGCATGCCGGGCTCTGGTCATGAAGACGAGGTCCCAATGTGGAGCGGAGCAAGGAGGAATAGCTGGGGTCAGCTGTGGTCTGATCTCTTCAATGTGGCGCCGGAAATGGATGACCTGCAGTGGGATCTGTTGTTGAATGATTCTGACTTGCCCTTCCAGTTGGAATTTTCCTGAAGGACTAGCCGCAAGCCTTGGTTGACTATGTGCTGGCCAGCTTCTATCCCTTCTAATGGGCAGGAACGAAAAGACGAGCAGTTATGAGTATGTGACTTTCTATACAAGAATCCTGACAGCTATTATACGGTCAAACCTAGATACAAACGCCAATTACCAATAACACCCCTTCCATCCCATGGATCCGGATATGTGCCCCCAATGTACTGAACACCAATAGAACCAATGATATCTAGACGAACCCGGTCTATGATACCGAACCCGAAATATTGTCATCGAAGAAGAATAAATAAAAAGATCAGAAGAAATTACAGATGACCAACCAAATTACCGAATGGTCATGGATTTGGTCATCTGAGCCTTGCTGCCAACACCACCCTCCCGAGAGGCCGCAGCGCTGGTTCCAGGCTTGCGCTCGAAAATCTTCCAGAACTTCAGACTCTCGTCAGCGGCTGCGGTGGCCAGGAGTTGCCCATCTGGGCTAAGGCAGCTGTGCAACACACGGGTCTCGTGGGCAGGAATCTCGACGTTCCGGACCAGAGTGGGATAACTCCAGATGCTCAGCGAGTTGTCGGGGAATCCACTCGAGCTAACAATCTCGCGGTAGTGGTTGCTCCATCTCAAGCTGGTGACCTGGGAGCCGGTGTCGATGCTGTTCGTACGAGCACCAGTAGTAGTGTTCCAGAAGTGGATGTGACGGTCATAAGAACCTCCACCGGTGGCAAGTAGGTTCAACTGCCAGGGGCACCAACTGAGGGCCTTAACGGCAGCGCGGTGGTTGGTCTTGGTGAACTTGGGCGCGGTGAGAGAGCGAGCGTCCCAGATATTGACCAGATTATCGTTACCACCGGTGGCGAGCTGAGCACCATCGGGTCTCCACTCCAGACCACAGACTTCAGAGGTGTGCGAGACCAGCTCGGCAACCTTGTGCTGTGCGATGCGAACATCGTGGTTGAATACCAGACCACTGCGGGCACCGGTAGACAATGTGTGCTTCGACCAGCCCATGACACCTACACGCGAGTCATGGCCAAACATACTGCGAAGTTTGGTTCCTTCCTCGACATCCCAGATTTGGACTTCACCAGTTCCGAGACCGACACCGACATAGGCGCCATCACCACTCCACTTTACACTGCTCACGTAGGTGTCAGGTGCAGTCTCCAGCAGGCAGCTGACCGACCCTGAGTCGGCAGACCACACGTAAACATTGCGCTCCAGGCCAATTGCAACCTGGTTGCCAGAGCTCCAATCCAGCAGATTGAGGTAGTAATCGTCGAGGAGACCAGGGGCGTCCAGGACACGCTCAGGAGCGGTTTGGACACGTCGGCGGAACTGAGCGGACTGAGATTTGGCAGGCTTGAGAGGGCGGTTGTACTGAGCGCGCAGATCAATGGGCTTAGAAGACTCTGGGGGTGGCGGCTTGAAGGCCAGGATACGAGTGTTCAGATTGACACCACAGGCATCTGCCAAAGATGACTCGTACGCAACAGCATCCGGTGCTGGCTTGGTGTATGAGGTCGTTGACTCGTTATCCTCGAGTCCAAGGCTTTCCAGAGCTGCGGTGATGTCTTCATCTGTTCCGCGGCCACCAATGTCGAAAGCACTCGCGGCATTGGCAAGGACGGAGGATCCATCGCTGCTACTGGTTTTTGGTCGTTGGCTTTCCTCTGGCTTGGCTGTACCAGCAGTCACAAGTCCCTCACTGGCAGTACGGTTCGGAATGAATCTGTCACCTGCGTTGTGGGGAATGCGAACGGTTGTCTTTCCTGACCTCGTAGTCCGAGTGGTAATCTCCTTCCTAGGTGCTTCCTTCCTCGACACCTCCTTCTTGATTGCCTCCTTCTTCGGCGGTTCTTTCCTGGCCACTTCCTTGGTCACCTCCTTCCTCACGGCCTCTTTCCGCAGGCGCTCCTTGGTCGGAGTCTGTGATGAAGGACCAGTGCCAGTCAAGGCCCATTCTGATACACCCAGCTCAAGGTGTCTGGGAGACTTGCGCGTGCGAGCACGGGCAATGTTGGACTTGGGGGATTCGCGGTAGTTGCGGGCTGTCCTCGAGACAGACTTGGCGAAGTATGAAGAGAGGTTACCACCATAGACAGACTTTCCATGCTCCTTACCCGATTCTTGAGCACCACACGGAGGTGTGAATGGGGAGGAGTGGTTTGACGTCACACTTCCCGCGCGAGTGCGTGGTGAAGGCGTAAGGGGCATGCGGCCACCAGCCGTCTTAGTGGAGAAGATCCCATGGTGAGTCTTCACAGGAGTCGAAACTGTAGGTGTAGCCATGCTGATATATATTTACTTTCCGAGAAATAGGGTAGGGTATCGAGAGAGAAGTGCCTTCAAGGTCCGTTGGCAAGGCCAATCCCAGTCACGCTGGCTTGGACGCAGGACGAAGAAGACCTAACTGCGATACAGTAGTATTGAATGCAAGCAGGGAATACCAATCCCACGCAATATGGTATGCAATTAGTAGCAATAAATGGCAAAGAACAAGGAAGATGATGAAGAGGAGGAAGAGGAGGGGACGGGGGTGAAGGAGGAAAAGGGAGTAAATAAAGGATATAGTTCTGCTCACCCATGGCAACGCCGGTTACTGGAGGTACGGCTGCCCTAGTCCCGTTTAGGTTAGATTGCCACCTGACATGCGGCTCTTCCCTTTTCGGCGACGATCGGCTTGGCGCTTGCCGTTTCTCTCCTTTTCATTTTCCTTTTTTTCCTCTTGCCGCTGACAAGAGACGTGGGGTCACTGCGATCAGCATCAGTATGTGAGGGGAGTGTGTGTTACTACTGATTCATCTCTTGATTCACCATCTTTGCCCTTTGGTTATCCTCCTTTTTTGACCCCCTGGGCCCGTCTTTACTGTCGGACCCTAATGGCGCGGCTATCCTCCACTACCGCCAGGAATAGTAACGCTTCGTCGCCCTTTTCGCCGTTCCACGCTGACCCACCGCGTTGGACCGGGTCGTCCAGGACTCCTAATCCGATGACTCCCCTCTCCTCCACCCTTCAGAGACCGGCGTCCACATTCCTCATGCCCCCTAGTCCCAGTGATGGTCGCCGTAGCGGCGCGGATTACCGCCCAAGCATCCGCAAGGCACAAGGCCATGTGCCAGCCTGCCTGGTCAATGCTTCGGTGACGTATTGCAATAATGACCAGATCTACGCTTTCGGCGGCTTTGATCAGTACACTGATGAAGGTGCATATGCTTATATTTCACACTGATTATCGTTCAAGTCTAATACTAATGCTTTACACTTGCTAAAATAGTTTACAACCACGTCTTGCGTCTGAATCTCAGTACTCTTCGGTGGGAACTGGTTGATAACTATGGTGACATTCCCGGTGTCCGCATGGGTTAGTTTCCCCACATTTCTAAATACTTACGATAAGGAAACGCAAATCGTACTAATTCATACTCTCAATCGTTGCAGGTCATACGGCTACCCTCTACCAAGGTGATAAGTTGATTGTATTTGGTGGAGAAAATGAACACCGCGACCATCTATCTGACGTTGTCATCCTGGACATCTCAACCTCTACCTGGACTCAGCCGGAAATCCATGGACCCATTCCCCGAGGAAGGGCTCGCCATGCTGCCGTCATCCACGATGAGAAGCTCTTCATCATGGGAGGAGTAACCGGCGAGAACAATGTGATCCTCGACGACTTGTCTTATCTGGACCTGAAAACCTGGACCTGGTCTCGCACCTGGAGATTCACGGCTCGTTTCGACCACATCGCCTGGGTTTGGGGCGGCCGCCTCTGGATCTTTGGAGGTCTCGATCCTGACATGGAACGTACAACGGATATCTGGTGGCTGGATCTCAAAGGCATTCCGTCTCTTGGAACGGCAACTTCACAAGGTACCGTGGATTCCCCAGCGCCAACCAGCAGGATGACTTATAGTCCAGACGCTATCTTTAGTAGCCCCCCGCAACAGCTCTCGGGCCGGTCCGGCAGCTATGCAGCGAATTCCGGGAGTGTCCAAGTTCGCAATGGCAATCGTCGGAAACCGATCGCTCCGGGCGCCATTTCTTGTCTTCGGTTCAAGTCCGGCCCTCACGTTCCTGCACTGTTCTCTGGCACTCACTTTCAGGCCTATGCATCTGGGGTGCTCCTGGATCTGATCACTCCGTCCGAGACAGTGCGTACTTATGAGTGCAACCTGTCATCACTGGATCTGGACGCTTTACGTTGGCAGCGGTTGGCTGACGGGCAGGAAATCTTTAAGCCGGGCTTTAGATGGCATTATTGCACTGTGAACGCTGACGGTACCAAAGCGTGGCTACTTGGTAGTAGCCTCGACACCGGTGCAACTTCGGGAAATAGTGATGAGAATAACATGAGCGAGGTGCTCTGCATTGACCTTGAGAGATACGGCTTACTGGGAAACGAGCTGTCTGCCTTCTCGCCCAGTCAAAGCCGGACGTCGCTTTCCGAACCAACAGGGATGGGCCCTTTGTCCGGTTTAGGAGCAGACCTTTCGGCAGCGTTTGATCAACCACCAGAGTCTGGTAGCGGTGCAGACTTTATCATTACCGCTAATTCAGACGATCAGGTTGACTCGGACGATGAGGGGGACACCCCCACTTCACAATCAGAGCCAGCCTTCCTCTCTCCCAACACACCTACTTCACCTCCGATTCATGTGCACCGGATCATTCTGCAGCTGCGATGGCCCCACTTCAAGAGGCTTTATTCGGCTCAAATGGCCGAATATCATGCAAACAGGATGCACATCCCCGAGCCGTACTCGGTTGTGCGTGCGTTTATCTACTATCTGTATACAGATAGTATCGCCGGTCATTTGGAGTTTTGTTCTGATATCATCGACGTTGCGGGAATGCTCGTCATGGCGAATATGTACGACATGCCCAAGTTGCGCTTACTTTGCGTCAATCGCCTTAGTCGCGAATTGGATGTAGAGAACGCTGCAATCATCTGGGAGCGTGCAGGGCGCACGAACGAAGAGTGGCTGATGCGTCGTGCCGCTCAATTCTGCCTTGCCAATTGGGGACGTGTTGTCCGGACCGATGGCTTCAAGTCTCTAAGCCGGCAGAGTTTGATCGATCTGTGCGAGGTAGTCGACACCGAGGGTCGTATCATCGCCGGGCCCGAGTTGGAGATGGTTGGTGCTTTCGGAGAAGGATACGGATCGAATAAGGATCCGAAGCCTTCCCAAATGGCCCTGAGCGGTGCTATGGCTGACAATATGGAGGACATTGATGGTGATGATATTGATGGCATGGACATCATTTAATGTTGAGGGAGACTGTCTGGATAAAGCTTCCTTTCTTTTCTTTGTTCATTTTGTGTAATGGACTTTTCTACAGAGCAGTTACGATACGGGATGGCGTGAAACAGGTTGAGAACATATGTATGGGCCAGGATGGTATTATGAGTTAGGAGTTTGCACATTGCGGTCACAATTGGAAGTATTTGCAGTATAGCGTTAGCATAGAATGATCACATGCTTGTTTTATTGGTTTGTAACTTGCTACTCATAGTAATCATAGAATCGAGACACCTCTCCTGAATAATAATACACAGACATACAGCAACTTAAGTTGCACATATAATATCTCCATCACAAACGATCCCCACCTCATCCTCCTAATAAAATCGATTAATCACACCCACCTCTGCCCCTCCCCATCAAACCCAATAACCTTGAAATCAATCCCCATCGTCTTCAACATCATCCCTATCGTGAACTCTTCCTCCTCTTCCTCCTCTTCTTCCTCGTCCTACCACACAGATACATCAGCACATCTCCAATCCACAATACAAACCACACACAACCAAGCAGCAGGGGAAAAGAAAACACAGAGGATGAGACAAACCTTCTCCTTAACCCCGCCCTTCTTTTCATGATCATGGCCATTATTATTCTCACCTCCCCACCACCCACCACCCTCCCTCCTACTCATTTCCATCCCCTTCCACCCCCTCACACCCCCATCCTCACAACCCGCTCCCTCGCGCCCTCGAACACCTCCTCCGCAACCCTTTGCCCCACACCCCTCCACTTCACAATCAACTTCTCTAGTTCCTCATCGCGGTGGGATTCCTCGATGCGCTGCGCCTGAGTAACTGTTTCTAGTTCGGTGCGGAGAGAGAGGAGTCGGGATTGGAGGTGGCGGTGGGTGGTGCGGAGGGTGGAAAGGATGGGATCTTCTTCTTTTTGCTTCTGTTCTCTTTTTTCTTTGGGGGTAGGGGTAATTTTGGGGGTGGGTTTGGGGATTGGGGTGGTGAAAGATGAGGGGTTGGGTTTGGGGTGGCGGGTGTTGATGTGTGGGATTGTGTTTGGGGTCGTGTGGTTGTTGGGTCTTTGGAGGATGATGAAGAGGGTGCGTTTGTGGTGGTTGTGGTGGTATCTGGGTTTGGTGCTGGTGCTTGGGCTTGGGCTTGGGCTTGGGCTGGTCTGCGCAGAGGCGATTTGAATGGTTTGGTGAGCGTTGATGAGGGTGATGATAGGGTTGTGGTGGTGTTTAGACGGCGGCGTTTGGGATTGGGGGTTGGTGTTTCGTTTGGGTTCATTGTGTATGTGTCTTTCTGATAGACTGGTTTCTCAGGTTGAGGAGGTTCAATGGTTGAGGGAAATATCTATTTGTAATTGGGATGGATTTTGGGGGAATGGTGTAAGTATGAACTTGGAAGAAGTATGAAGTGGAAAGTAAATGTGCTTATCGATAAGAGAAGTCAGCTGATAAGATCGATACTTCAATCAACCCTCTACATACTCGGTAGATGGTAACTAACTAGGAAGGTATCATTCGTGTACTCAAGCTAAATCAAGCATATACATTACTGCGAAAAAAGCACAATTCTATATCATTAATGACCTACCGCCCCAGCAAGCCAATCATTGAAACCCGGCTCGCCCGGGCGAGGGAACATTCCCCGATCATTGTTGGCATTGCCTCCTGCCGCCGCATTCGCGCCGCCGTTGTCGTTCTGACGCTGGCGGTTGCGCTGCTGTCTCATATACACAAGCACGAGCAGCGTTGCGGCAAGACTGAGAATGAGCAATCCCTCCAGAAAGCTATCATCGATATCGAGCTCCAGCTCGTCGTAGTAGCCGTCTTCGCGGTGGTCGTCCAGGCGATTGCTCGACATGAGTTCGTCCTCCTCGTCCTGTTTGTACATCTGTGCGCGGAAGGCGGCCTCTTCTTCCTCGTTGTTCTGGATAAAAGTGGCGATGAATTCCTTCAGGGTTCGATGCGATCTCACTTCTGCGTTGGTGTGTTAGTGTGGCTGTTCGGATCTTCTCAGCGGGAATGACGTTGGGGTTGCTTACCTTCTTCCTCCTGGATGGGATTGATGTCTCCGTTCGTTAGCCAGTTCCAGTATCCCCGCATCCGCAGTTTAAGCAGACTGAGCTTCACGGGCAGATACGCCTCGGAGCTAGTCTCCAGCGCGAGATCGTAGTATCGCTTGGCCATGTGGAAGTCTTGGTCAACGGCAACACCATTCTCATGCATCCACCCCAGGTTCCAGTACGCCTGTGCGCTGTAGTGCACTTCGGCTGCGGTGTGGTAGCAGGTCGAGGCCTTCTCCGCATCCGCGGCAATGCCCATGCCCGTTAGGTAGTAATCGCCCATCTTGAGCAAGGAGTCGATGTTCGCCTGTTTGGCGGAGCGTGTCCAATAGATAAGAGCCAGCGCCGCATTTCGCAGCAGAGCTGGTCTGCTCTTCTTGGCTCCTGGGAGGATGGTGTCAATGGCGAACAAAGACCGCTGCTCGTCCAGCAGGAACGCAACATTGGACTGCGCATGCTCGTAGCCCTGCTCCGCAGCCATCAGAGCGGGGATGAATGCCCGTTCCTTGTCTCCGTTCTCATATGCGGTGTTCGCTTCCTCAAAGGATGAGTGGATAATTTCCGCCCTCTCGGCGACCATCTTATAGTAAGACGCGGCCATTCCGCAGTGTCGCTTCCGCCCAACCCCATTGTTGGACAGTTCTGCAAGGTAGTAGAAGGCCTCCATCCAGCCCCAGCGCGCAGCGAGTTCGAAATAGCGGGTGGCGGTCTGGACGTCGCCTTGGTCCAAAAACAGGGCACCCAGTCTCGTTTCAGCGGCCGGGAAGTCCTGCTCGGCCGCAGCTTTAAAGTATGATGCAGCTCTGAACGCATCTGGTGTTACGCCATAGCCATGCAGGTACATCAGTCCGAGCTCATGCTGGCAGAGCGCATCACCATTCGCGAGTCCACGCCTAAACCAAGTCTGGGCAGTTGCAAAGTTCTGCTCCACCCCCTCGCCCCGCAGGTACATCATGCCGATATGGCCTGCTGCTTTCGAAGCCAGCTTCTCAACACCAACAGGATGGTTGGGGTTCACCGACCCGTCTTTATTCCAGTAGCGCTTGGTGACCTGTCTGAAGTAATTCATCGACTTGCGGAAATTTCTAGGCAAGCCGCGGCCCCCTTCATAGTGCATCTTGCCCAAGCTGAAAGTAGCCTTCAGTTCGCCCTTTCTCGACATCAAATCCAGGTACTCCAAGACGTCTTCCAAGCTGGCTTCCGTGCTCGAATGCGTTCCATCGCGCGCAGCCGTCGATACACTGGCGCCTTCACCATAAACACCACCTTCTTCGTCCGCCCAACGGTAGGACTCGCGGATCATGCTATTGCCACCAGGCGGTCCAGATCGGTAGTAATCGATAGCCTTGTCGGCCACCTTCTTGTAGTAATAAGTCGCTTGGTCGCAATCTCTAGGAGCCCCAATTCCAGCGTGGTAGCGATATGCGAGGGTCATTTCCGACTTCGTATTGCCCGCTTCGGCCGCAAAGGTGTGGTATAACAGGGCCTTGGCCTGGTCGCGCTCCACCGCACCTCCAACACCCGTTGCATACATAAACCCAAGCATATATTGTGCCGTACCGTTTCCAGTCGTCGACGCCAAGGTCTGGTACCAATGGAAAGCCTGCTTGAAGTCTCTCGGGTGGGTGAAGTTGCCGTAGAAGTTCATTTCCGCTAAGAGGAAGATTGCATCGGGGTTTTGGTCCTCCTGCGCCGCAATCTTGAGTTCGTTCGCAGCCTTTGCAACATTTGGATCGAGTTTCTGCTTATGTGTCCCATCCGGCTGCGGTCCATTCATAAATAGGATTCGGAAGGCTTCCTGGGCGTAATGCCAAGTGTATCCCAGTAGACCGGACGGTTTCTCGTGAGTGACTATGGGGATTTTGCTTTCTCGGAGGATTCGAAGGGCATTTTCAACGTGTTCTATTGGTACATCAAGAATCTAATTGTTAGCAAGGATGAGTGCGCTGGCGTCATGCAGAGGGCTGCTCACCGTGTCCCGGTAGGCTGTTAGAGCCCTCGGGCCTGCTCGAGGACTCAGCATGTGCATAAGGTTCAGGAACGACATCTGTTAAGGGTTCTTGTTCGTCGGGCTGTCCATTATGTTCAACCGCAAGCGCCTGCAGAAGCACTGGAAAGTGGTGCTTGGAGGTCAGTAGCTATCGCGTGATGCGGCTAAGCTCCACAGTGAGACTCACGAAGCGCCAACGGCAGGAAACGCCACAGCCACCAGTTCTTCATGTTGTGTGAGAGAGATGAGTAGAAGTGAACAGTGAGAGGCGCATGGCGACTCTGTGCTCGAGCTTCCGACAAGTAAGAGAGGGGGGAGGAGCTGACAGTGAAGATGAGCACAGGAGACTCGGGGGAGTTGCTTGCTCGGCCCCGATGCGGAACGGGCCACCTGGCGTTGCGGAGCTTCATTTCGCCGACATTTCTTGGCTCCTTCACTACATTACTATCTAGACTACAGGTACATCTACGACTACTCTTCATCACTACAAGGCACGTGTGTTGGCAACCATTTTCATTATTATTGACCTCCGGTCTCGTCCATAACCCATCTGCAGTCGTCTGTGTACAAAGCATAGGGAAACTGATCGATCGCAGCAATACACGCAATAACTCGTCCTCGATGCAAACTCAGAGAAAACAACACCATCTCCGGAGAGGACCATCGTATTCTCATAACCGAGTCATGGTCCACAAGCATCCTCAAGTCTAAACGCTTGGTAGTTCAATGTGCAAAAAAGGGGGAAAGAAAGCAAGCAAAACACAGAATATCACCAACCCACAAAACCGTTCGCAATTTCAGCAGGCTGGCTCGAAAGAAAAAGAAAAAGTAGGAAAGGAAACTAATACGGGATAATAAGGGGATCGACCTGCAGGCTGACGCAAGAAGAGAAAAACATACAGTTTAAAAACGGATGGGTGAAAGGGAAAGGCTACAGGCGCCCCAAATTCTGCATGAAATAACCAACCAATTCCGCAACATACAATGCAAGATGTTTTTTTCTTTTGTTCCTCTTAGAGGTCGTCTGGGAGGTAGGTGATAGTACAATGATACAGCGAAGGTCAGAAAGGAGCAAAGCAACCATCTTAGGATTTCACTGGCGTGGAGATCTGCATGCTTGGTTAGTGACCGGTGATATTCAATCGTTGCTCATGAGTGACTTACGTAGGGCTGAAAGCCGGCGACGTCGGGCTGTAGCCAGGAGACGTTGGTCCTCCAGGTGACGTCGGCGAGCCGGCAAAGTTGGGGGATGTAGGAGAATACGTCTGGGGGCTCGTAGGAGACCACCCAGGCGAAGTAGGCGTGTACTTAGGTGAGGTGGGGGAAGTGGGTGACAGATGCCGGCCAACACCACCAACAGCAGGGCTTGTCGGGCTGTAGCTAGGCGAGGTTGGGCTAAAGGCCGGTGAAGCTGGGCTGAAACTGGGTGAGGTAGGACTGTAGTTCGGCGACGTCGGCGAGAACCCTGGCGAAGTGGGCGAGTACGATGGCGACGTAGGAGATGCCTGTCCATACGCAGGAGAGGTAGGAGAGTATGCCGGTGATGTCGGAGCAAATGACGGACTCGCGGGGGAGAACCCAGGAGACGTCGACATGAAACGAGGACTGGTGATAGCCATACCCGGTGACGTGGGAGAATAACTCGAGGTCGGGGAGTAGCCAGGCGACGTCGGGTTCGCGCTGAACGGACTGCTGGGGGAATAGCCAGCTGGGCTTGTAGCTGCCGGACTGAACCCGCCTCCAAAGCCGCCAGTAGGCTGGTATTCGGTGAAGCCACCAGGAGTCTCGGCACCCGCTTGGCGAATGGGAGAGAAGTTCGACTCGGGGTCGGGAGTGCCGATGTAAGCACTCTCCTGCATAGGCGAGCCCGTGTCATACTGAGTAGCAGCGCCGTCGGAGATGATGGCATCCTTGGCGCCGATCGCTCCCATAACACCGAAGCGAGCATTGTTCGACACGACAGTGTTCATGAGGTTCTGGTCAAGGTAGATATCGAACTCTCCGGTACCAGCAGGAGCCATCTGGCCCAAAATAAGGTTCTCAGAAACACCACGGCAATCGTCCAGCTCTCCGAAAGCGGCCGCTTCCAACAGAATCTCGACGGTTTCTTCGAACGAACAACGCATGAGTGCACCGTTATCAGCACGGTTGATACCGTGTCGAGTGACGGGTGTCAGGTAGCCTCGTACAGTCATGACATCAACCAGCAGCGCCAAATGGCGGTGGTTGACATAAGAACCGTCGAACGCAAGCACCTGGGTCAATTCGCGAAGAACAGCTGTCCGTGCGGCTTCGATACCAAACACCTCGAAAACC